AGTGCTGTGGGAGTCTCTGAAATGGTGCTGTGTTTTGGCAGGCTCTGGGTGAGCCCCTCTACCGAGTCAGCACTGGCAACTACGAGTACCGCCTTATCCTGCGTTGCCGCCAGGAGGCTCGCACACGTTTTGCCAAGATGAGGAAAGATGTGCTAGAGAAAATAGAACTCCTAGACCAGAAACATGGTGAGTACCACTGCTGTGTCCAGCACCTGGAAGGCTCAGGTATATGTGGCTTCAGGTTTTATGCTCCTCATTCATCTTAACGGTCTGTGCTGAAGAACCCTTTGTTGGGCTCAAGTTGACCAGGGGAGGGAGATTCAGGTTGGATGTTAGGAAAAATTTATTCTTTGAAGGAGTGGTTAGGCTCTGGCATAGGCTGCCCTGGGCAGTGGTGGAGTCACCTGGAGGTGTTCCAGAAATGTTTGTGTTATACTAAGATTGTGTTATGCTAATACGTATTTTAGTGGGGAAATATTGGTGGTAAGTGGATGGTTGGACTGGATGATCTTGGAAGTCTTTTCCAACCTTGGTGATTCTATGATTGACTGTGCCTGAGACGTCTGTGCTCGGCACCACATGGGACTAATGAGTGGGAATCTGTAACTCCTACTGGTGAGGGAGTCTTGATCACAGCCTTCACACTGTTTGGGAAGAGGTTTCATCTGATTTGTTCCCAACGTGTTTCCGTTACAGTGCAGGACATAGTGTTCCAGCTCCAGCGTTTTGTCTCCACAATGTCAAAGTACTATGACGACTGCTATGCTGTGCTCCGAGATGCAGACGTCTTTCCCATTGAGGTGGATCTTGCCCGCACTACTCTGAACTATGGGCAGAAGGACACATACACAGATGGGGCAGAAGAAGAAGAAGGAGGAGGAAGTGAGAGAGAGAGTAGTGGGAAGGAGGACGCAAATGGTGAAAAGCTCATTGATGATGCCTGAATGTGCCAATATGGCATGGAGGAAATGACTTTGCAGACTGTTATGAAAACATGTATTTTACATGGCAATTCATCCTTTATGATTGTCTGTGTTGTCCAGCCTGGGAATCCTCCTCTGCTCTGGGTGGCAGTAGCTGGTTGGATTGGGGCCAACCTCTGCATTCCTCTCTTCATTTGCTTGCTTGCCTGGATATTCCTTTCTCCCTCGCAGAGTTCTGTTGCCCAACTTGGATACTGAGTTGTGGGGAAGAGAATCTCTTCCCACATCGCCATGTCCATGTGCACAGCTGAGCATGCAGGATGCATCATTTCTCTCTGGCATGTGGAAGGCTGCTAAACATCTGGAGATAACTATAAATGGAAGAACAGTCTCCTGTCCTCCCTTGTGCCATGGGAAAACATTAGCACCAGCATTGTTTTCTTCACCTCACTGCTTGCTGTCTTCATGCTTCAAGCTTTGGCTTATTTCGATCTTCCTCACTTTTCTTCCTGGAGCACATCCCATGAGCTGTGGGACAGGTGTTTTTTTAGGGTGATTACTCCCAACTCTCTGCAACACCACTTTTAAGAAATAAGAGCAAGTCAGAGCTGATGTCTAGAACTAGTGGTGGTACATGCAATGCGTTCATCCCAGACCCCCCCTGTCCTGGAAGAGGCTGGTGTTTGCTGCAAGGATCTACAAGACTATTTCCTTGGCTGCTATCCTCTTCATATTCTTTGAGCTCCTGCACAGCTAGTGCTATCTGTACACTCCATAGCTATACCCTAGGGTTAGGGTCCTCCAGTATGTAGCTCTGCCACATGTGGTAGAGAGGACCCTAGAAAGTTCTCCCAGTCAGCAGAGAGATGCTGAAGTTAACATGTTTGTCTGAGTCAGGTTCCTGAAAGTAAGAGCAAAGCTGCATGCATTTCCTTTCTCTTGTTCTCTTATACTGCTCTTTGCAATGGATAGTAACCAAACGGGCTTCTTGAGGATGTGCAGTAAGACCTGCAAACTCCTTTCCTTGTGCAGGTGCCATAAGGAGCCACCTTAGGACTGCAGAGGTGATGTTTCATCCTTACACTAGTGAGAAGAGGCAGGAAGCTCTGCAGGGAGGGGAAGATAAGGCCTGCAACAGAGACGTGGTGATTCTGAGTGTGAAGTATGAATAGCATACAAAGTATTGCTCTCTTCTCTACCCACCCATTCCGTTCTGCCAGAAGCTAATGGCACATTCCCCAGCACAAGGGAAGGAGGGAGAGGTAAAGCTTACTTTTCCACCACCCTTGTGGGCAGATCCCAGATCCGGATGACACTTCTTGCTGGCAGTGGTGTGCTGCTCAGAGGCCAGGGTTTTGACTTCTCTGTCATTACATTCTAATGGTAGTGAGAGAAGTTATTTAAAGGCATTAATTTAAGATTGAGATGTTTAGTTTGATTTGTTTTTCTGGTTTTTTTTTTTGTATTTTTGGAGACTTGTTATCTCCATGGGTGCGTGGAAGGAAGTCATCCATGGGCAAGCTGCTTTGGAAGATGTAAATGGACTCTAAATGTACTGTTGTCTGTAATAAAGAAAAATGTGATAGTTTTGTTTCCTGTTGTTCCTGGCTTTGCTTTAGTGATGTGTTTGCTTATGCTGGTCAGTTTTTCCTCGCTCATACTCACAGATGTCTCTGTACCAGGATGCTATGGCCGCTATAGCTCAGGTTTCCTGAAGAACATTACAGATGCTGTAGCAAGGCCATTCTTCCATGCGGTAACAGTTTCTCTGCATCTTAGCATCCAAGGAAACACCAGCCTGGTTTCGTCTTTATGCTGCTTCAGGACCAGCTTTGCTGTACGGCTCAACTATTGCACCAGAAGTAAGTTGATGCTCAAATCCCTGATCCTCTTTTCATTGTGCCAGAATGTGGAGTAGTTCAGTGGAACCTGCCTGAAGGTCAGCAGTGTGAAAGTGGAGGGCAACATAGCCCAGCAGCATTTTTTTGCAACCTGCTTACAAGCAAGCAGCCTTAGCTTTCTGGGGAGTGGTACAGAAGTATGGCACCCATTTCTGCCTCAGCAGCATCCCTTAAACTTACTCTTTGTTCATGAATATAGTTGTCCTTGCTTAAATAAGACCCCAAACACAAGCAAGTGCTGCAGTAAAGAATCTCCTGTGTGGCATAGCGGTAATAGCACAAGGCAGTGTGCATTGAGCAGTGGATGTATTAGGGCCTGAGCCAGAACCAGAGGCTGCAGGAGACTGATTTTGGCATGAAACCATCCCCTGAGGTTCTCTGGCAAGTACCCAGCAGTGGTGGTTGCCATCACAGAGAAAGTGGGCAGGAAGAGGGCTGGGTATCTCACAGCACAGTCTATAGCAAGATCTCGTAGCCTAAGGGCTGTTATTTGCCTCTGTGAAAAGATTTAAGAGGAGGAGGCCTGTGGGAAATGTGAAGTGGTGACAGGGAAACAGAGGGGATGTTGTTCTAGGGACCTGCCTGGTGCTGACGAGGGTGGTTGTTTTCAGGCTGTAGATCTTGGACCTCTGGGAAGCTTTTAGAAGGGGGCATTGGTTTGTAAGGAAGACCAGGCTCTGGAGGACAGGTTGCTGTGGAGCAACTTGTTTGCACAGAGCAGAAATAGTGCTCTTACCTTTTGTGAGAAGAACAAGTTTGCAGAGCAGTGACGGAATGCCCATAGGGCTCCAATCGCTGCTGCTGCGTGTTCTCCTGGGGCTGTGCATGCAGCATTTCTTGTGGTGCTTGGTCTGATCTGTGAGGTTTCTAAGGGGGATTGGAGAGGAAAAAAACAAAATGAAAATAACCTGAATACACTGATGTGACTGGCTCACAGTTAGAACTAATGACAGCGCTATTAGCCATGGTAGAACCAAGCACAGACCTATGTGGGTTTGTGTTTTGCCTTCCAATTTCTGTTATAACTCTTCTTGTCAGTCATGTTCTTAAACTGGCACTCATCCAGCAACTGTAGTTTTCTCGTCAATTACGGTTTCTTCATGCTAGATACACCTGAGAAATTCTTTCCATCATGTTCCCATGCCCCACATAGGTTTAAACAGCTCTGTGAGTTCTGTTGGCTTCACCTGTTACTCTTCAATTAACAGTCAGTCCTGTCTGGAATGACCACCTTGTCTGATCGTCTCATAGGCTGCCTTCCTTGCAGACCAGTTCTGCTTAGGTCTTGATCCCTCCTTCACTAAGAGGTTCTTCCAGGGCTAACCGGAAGAAAGGGCTTTGGCCAAGGGTGTTTATAAAAGATCCGGTCCCAAAGCAGATTAAGAGCGGTTTAAGCATGCCAGGGAAGGTTGTCCTCTCTGAATGCAGAAATTCACCACTGTGGGCAGGGGGAGGGGAGTCACGCCTGCCTGGCCATGTGCCCCACCACCCTCATTGGTGGCACCCGAGAGGCTGCAGCTTGTCTTTCTGCTTTACCTTTGATTCCTTTATGTAAGAAGCCTTTCTCTATTTAAAAAGAAAACACACACGCGCACATCTTGTGCCATTCCTGCTGAGTGGATAATCGCTCGGGACAGGGATGTTTACCTGCACTGACAACCCCACCCCCAGCTGCCACTGCTATTCCTGGCAGCAAAGCTCTGTGCTGTGGGGCTTGCTTAGTGGCATTAGCCCTTCTGAGGTGCCACCTTCTTGCACTTTGGTAGCAGCTTGGAAAAGCCATTATGTATCACTGCTTTACTACCCACTGAAGGTGCTCAAGAGGGAAGTGGTCACAGCCAATGCTCCGACTGGTTCAGCGGTGCCCTGAGGAGGTACTGTGGGAGATGCAGCATTTACTCCTGCTGCAGCAGGACATGACCCAGTGATAGCTATGAGCTACAGCATCTCTTAAACCTATTCCCAGCTTGCCTGGCATGTCTGCTCCCATGACTATCACAAACTCCCTGGTTTGTGTGTCCCAGGGGCAAGGCAAGCCCAGACCAGTACAGCAGCTGCCCTTGGTCCTTCCAAGAGCTATGCCATTCAGGGCTGTGCTATCTCAACCCTGGAAGTAGCGTAGAGGAAACACTGACACCAGACCAGAGCATACCAGAGATGATTACAAAGAGTCTCTAATTGTGTTCTGTATTGTGACAATGCAGAAAGAAAAGGAGAGTCCTTCGCAGCCCCTTCAAAATATATTTTCCAGGGCTGGTTTGGAGGTAGGGGGAAGAAGATTCTGGTGGTTGGGCTGCACTGAGCCTGCGTTGTACCAGCATGGTGCAGGATGCAAGTAGACATATCTCTGTGTAGGTATGTGGACATATGTACATGAGGACCAGCTATTCTTAGACTTTCACCCTTTTATCTCTTACATTTGCTTTTGTCTTACTTTTTTCCAATCCACATCCCATCTACACTCCCACACTGAGTTACACACAAACCAGGCCAGTAATTTACATCCCCATTCCTCTTCCCTGGCTAAAAACTGTCCCTCTCCACTGTCTGGTCGGCATTGCAGCCAGCTCGTGCCAACACCTCCCCATCCGCCTCAGGACACCTGCCTCCCTCCCCACTCTGCTCATCCTCCACATGGTTGGCCTCCTCATTGGCTGCCACCATGGCCTTGTCAGTGCCATGGGCTGGCTGGTGGTTATCGCTGCTGTGCTCCTCAGCTTCCTGCACATCAGACTCGGCTTCTTCAGTATCACTCCCACCACCTGCTGAAGGGTTTTTCTCTGGGGGAGGTGTCTTCTTCCCTTTGTTCAGGCAGCAGTAGGTGGCCATGGCCAGGAAGAGAGCGGAGAGCGCCACCTCTGAGCCTGCCAAGTAGAAGATCACCTCGTAGTTCTTGAGAGCATCAACCAAGCGGCCTGGAGGTTGGAGAAACAAGAAACAAGGAGGTTAGCCTCAGTCTAAGCACTCCTGGATGGACAGACTAGCACAGCTGGGCAGCACCTGGGGACCCATTTCTGAAAGGAAGAGGAGGAAGCTTGGATATCTGAAATCATACTGGGTAAGGGGATGGGCAACTGGGAGTCATGCTCTGCCACCAGGGTCACTACTTTAAAAGTGTGGGTTTGCTGCTTTCCCATGTTCTGACAAGGCTAAGCAATGGTGATGCACTGATGTCATGGTGTCAGGCTGTGATGGACCATCTTCTTGCCAAAATGAGATCGGCCTCTGAGGACAAGGCTTCCTTGGAGGGCACACACCTCTGCCAAAGAGATATCTCTTCTTTCACAGAGAAGGTGTTGAGGCACTGGCACAGGCTGCCAGAGAAGCTGCAGATGTCTTATCCCTGGAGGCATTCAAGGCCAGGATGAACAGGGCCCTGGGCAATCTGATCTAGTGCTTTCTCTAGTAGTTGGCAGCCCTGCCCATGGCAAGGGGGTTGGAACTGGGTGATCTTTGAGGTCCCTTCCAACCCTAGCCTTTCTATGATTCTATGTTTTCCCAAATGTCTCAAGGCTGACAGTGGAAAGAGAGTTCCCACTGTAATTGAGATAGCATTTGCCAAGCTGAGATGGGGCTGTGATGGCCAAAAGTTTCATCCCAGTCCTGCATTCTCCTGCCAGCAGATGTAATCCCTTGACCCTGGCTGTAATGAAACCGGCCCTGCATTGACAAACAGCGAATTTTTTAGCAGGTGAATGTGCCCTTTTCACCCCAACTGGACAGCAAGTGTGGATTGTGTGCGTGCGTGTGTGTGCAGCTTATCCTACAGTGAGCCCCTCAGCCCCATAGAGGGGGAAACAGCTCAGGAGGATTACACCAAACAAAGACACTTTGTTCAACCCCTTTCTTTCAGTCAAGTAGCTGTGCCAAGTCCAAGCTGTGGGGTTTCCAAGTACCCTCAAGCTTCATATACAAACAGATCTTGCAACAAAGTCCCTCCAGGGTGGGGAAATGGGAGCCCCCCAGTCCATGTGACTGTTCTCCATCATAGACCTTGCTCCATCTCTGTCCCAGCTTGTACTCACATAGTGCCAAAGCACAGCTGAACTGAGGAGGGAGTCCCGCCCTCCATGATGGCCCACAGTGGTTTGACCACTGACTGAGGTGTGGAGTGGTGGCCTTGAAGATACAACCTCCACTACCTGCTCTGTGTGTCCTGGCTTTGCTGCCTCAGTGTCTTCAGACTCCACTCATCATTCTTGAAGATTCCTGACCTGGAGAAATTTCATCCACATTTCTCCTACACCCTGTTCTATACAAGAAACCATTTGACCTTAAACTCTGTCAAATAACATGTAAGAGGGAAGGCCATCATGGAAAACACAGTAACAGCAAATGCTTCAGGTGGCTATACTGACTGTTTTGGCAGCCTTGATTGACACCGAAATGTTGGCACCTTGGGTTGCGGCTAATACAAGTTGAAATCACCATTCACAGCATCAATCAAAGTGCCACAGACATCAAGGGGAATTTGAAATAATCTTGTCCCACTGAAGACTCTCACAGGATTGCTTGCAAAATGTGCCTGACCCTAAACACAACACGATTTGATGCAGTGTTCACAGTGAAGGCAGAAACATGGATCCCAGCATGAAAGAGGGAGAAGTGTCACTGATGAGGACTGAGGGACTCTAGAAGTCGTGCCATTCTGTATGCCTGCCATTGCTGAGATCTCTCAGAAAAGCAGAAGGAAATACCACTTACCATTTTCTTCCCTGGCTCAGCTGCGGTGCATGAAGGGAGACCAGGAGCTCTCACTTCAGAGAGCTTCCAGGAGAACTTTGAAATTGAGAAGTGGGGCCTTTATTCAAGGATTGTGAACACAACCAATACCTGCAATACTGTGGGATGGCAACAAAACTAATCACCTGCATTTTGCAGCACGAGACCTACCTGCAGAGGGTGGACCAATGAGCACAGCAAAAGCCTCGATAAGTAGGACCAGCCCGATGGCACTGGAGAACTTCTGGGAGCCAACGATGGCCATCAGCACCTCGAACTGCAGAGCCCCTACCATGCCGTAAGAAATGCCGAAAAAGACACAGAAGATGACCAGCCCCGTGTAATTGCTAGCCCTGGCACTGCAGATGTCTGTCAAGCCATTGAAGAGCATAGAGAAGCTGAACAGGTATGCCACGTGAGGGCGGACCCACTTCAAGCCTGCCACCATGCCACACGCTGGCCGGGCAAAGATGTCGATGAAACCAATGATGGAGAGCAAGAATGCGGCCTCTGTGTCTGGTACTCCTGTGTCCTTGGCGTAGTTGACCAGCAAGATGGGGGGCACGAAGAGACCCAAGACCAGGATGAACTTTGAGATAGTGTAAATGATGAAGCCTCGGTTGGAAAAGATGCTGAAATCCAACAGCTTCTTTCCTTTCTTGGGCTTCTTTTTGGCTTTCTTGGCTTTCTTGGTTCCATCAGTGGTGCTGATGCCCTCTTCTGACTTGCCTCCCATGGGCAGCATCTCCTTGGCTTCATATTTGTCCTGAGCTTTCTCCGTTTTCCGCTTCATGCCTGTATCCAGGGGTCTCATGACTGCTCCACACGTGCAGCAGTTGAGTAGAAGGCCCCCCATGATGAGGAACCCTCCTCGCCAACCAAACTTCTCCAGCAGCACTTGCCCCAGTGGAGAGAGGGAGGAAAGGAAGACAGGGCTCCCAGCAGCAGCCAGTCCATTGGCAAGAGGCCGACGTTTGTCAAAGTAGGTGCCCAGCATGATCAGTGAGGGCTGGAAGTTCAATGCCATACCCAGACCTATGAGAGGGAAGGAGTGCAAGAATGTGAGACGTTTTACAACAAGCAAAAACCCACCCAAAACTGCCCTTATCCTGAAGTCCTTCCATACAAGCCTCTTCTCCACTGGAAAAAATGAGCTAACAGCCTGTCTATTGGAACTGTATTTGAATCTGATATCTGTGGCTACATTTAGACAGGATCTCTGCCTTAAACATGAACTTTGTCCCAGTACCACTTCTTGCCACTCCAGTTGCTGTGATCACTGGGCATTGCTTGCCTTTCTTCTGTCCCTCTCTCCTGACTGTTCACATTCAGCAGATAAACCTCCTACAGTGCAACATTCAAGACTAGATTCTTCCTGTGAGCAGGTGTAAATAGGTTGAGGGGTGACCTGATGCCAGACATGGCAATGCTAAAGGGGGATACAGTGCACTCTTGGCTCTTCCATCAGTGTGCTCCCCCTACTCCTGGGGTTCTTACCTGTCAGGACACCAGCTGTCAGATAAAGCTCAATGATGTTGGTGGTAAAAGAAGCCAGAATCATCCCAGAGGAAGCTAGCAGCCCTCCGATGAGCATCACAGGCCGGCAGCCAAACTGGTTCACCATGATGCTGCATACTGGTCCTGGGAGGAAGCAGAGAAGGCAGAGTAGGATTTCAGAAGGAGATAGATAGGACATGTGGGAAGGGACAGTGTGCCCAAACAGGGCACTGGGGAAGATGAAACATTAATGGCAGAGATCACTGCTTGGCTGTTTAGCTACACAATCCCTGGGCCTGGTCAAGGGACAGAAGTCCTGGTGTGGAGATCTTTGCCCTGCCTGCCTTCAGCCCCCTGTTCTCTGCGAACAATAAAGGACTTGGTGCTTCAGCAAATGTCATGGACCCCGGAGATCTCCTGGGGCAGAGGAGATAGAGACATGAAATGTACCACACATCTAGAAGAATGTAGCAGGAGAACTGTCTTCAGCACTGGTTCCTGATGAGGCCATTGAGTGTGCCCATGGGGACATGGTTTGGAACTCTAGAAGGGCAGAAGAGGCAGAGGTTGGGTAGGGAGAGGTATATCCAAGCATCACCTGTTCCATAGAGCATGGCCAGCATGATAGAGGAGATCCAGGCCGTGTCACTGTAGCCCACGTGGAAATCTTTCATGAGCTCCTTGAAGTAGACACTGACAGCTTTCGGGAAGGCATAGGAGAAGCCAGTGATCACAAAGCAGCCAAAGAGCACGATCCAACCCCAGCCACCATCTGGGGGCTTCACAGGAGCTGGGAGCTGCCCTTCCTCTGGGTCAGCTCTCCCCATTGTCTAGCCTGGGTGGGGAAAGGCAAGCCGGGATGAGGTAGAGTGACACAGGGAGACAGCAAGAGATCTGCAGATTCTGCAAGAGAAGAGCATAGCAGGCAAACATTTACTACAAGGTCTCCCTCCGTGCCCTCTGTATTAGCCCTCACTTTCCTTTCCCTGCTACAAGGGACTAGACTTGGAAAATGGGTGAAGGTTGAGAGCATGGCAAACGTGTGGCAGTGGTTATTTGCATGCCAGAGAGATTAGGGCTCCGTACCTATCCAGAGGGGCCGCAACAAAGACAAAGGGGGGAGAAGGAGGGAATTAGAGGATATGTCTTGTGAGTTGCTCTCAGGACTCCTAAGCTGCACAAGAATTTTGCTCCAGTTGGCTGCTGTAAGAATGTATTTCTCATTTCTCCCCTATGTACCAAGTTTCTGCCATACCCCTTCCACCAAGCACTACCTCAGTTTCTTCCGCATCAAAGCTTATTTTCATACCTGTATGCAAAATTATCATTGATCTTTGATTTGCTACTCCCCAGTAGTATCAGAAGGTGTTAGAAAGCACACAAAATAACACCAAATGGTCTTGGCCAATGGTTTTAATCAGGCATCTGACCAAGGCTCTCCTGCAGAAGTTATGGTGGATTAAGAGTCACCAGCCACCCCAGTGGTCTCCCTCCTTCCTTCCTCCTCTTGGGGTTTGTTTATGCCAGCACCCAGGTGTCTGCCACAGCCATAGTACACTGCAGCAGAGCTTCCCAACCTTCAGGACCCCATCAGCCACAAAAAAGGGGAGGACTGAAGCAGCTCTTGCAGGTGGCAATACCCTAACACCTCTCAGGGACTGCAGCAAGGGGCAGAGGCATGAATTGAGACCAGGCTGCAAAAAAAAAAAAAAAAAAAAAAAGAATCATTGCTAGAATGGAAAGGTTAATTACACACTCTACAGACACACATACCTTCCCCTCACCCCTTTCTGGTGGTATTCTGACCACTGGCACCAGCACAGTCAAACTGAGCACAGCCCCATAGAATCATCAAATCTGTGGTTGGAAAAGACCTCCAAGATTATCTAGTCCAACCATCCACTCACCATCAGTACTGCCCACTAAACTCAGCTTCAGCCCCTTCCTGTCCTTGCTCCTCTCCCAGCCTGACCTGGTTACAGCCAAGCAAAGGTTGACCCATTGCAAAAGTGCACTAATGGCTCAATCAGTGCTGTCCTCAACCACCAATACATCCACTGCACCTCAAATAAGAGCAGCTGCCACCAAGCATACACTGAGCCCCTCTTGCTGCCTCACTTTTCTTGCTCCTGTCCTCTGCCACAAATCTAATCAATCAGTTAGACCCTTTGCATTTCATTTTCCTAGCAAGAAAACATTTGTCCACCTGTGGGATCATTTCAGGGATTTCCAGAGCATCACCTGTTGGTGATGAATCAAGAGCATCTGAGCACATTAGACAAATATCCATGGGTACTGCTTGAGTCTCGGGCTGGATGGGTACCTGCAGGAACCCTTTCCACAGCACAACACACCCATACAGCAAGGTATGAAAGAGCATTTACCTGGCTGCAGCTCGATGCTGACCGACAAAGATGAGGTGCAGCTGAGCAGCTCACACGTGGAGCTCCCTCCAAGCCAACGTGCTGCAGCACAGCTCTGCTGGAGCTTTATCCCAGCTCTGAGCAGGCGGTTCAGAGCTGCCTCAATCATAACGCCCCGGTGCGCACGCGGGCTCCTCTGCTCACCACTGCACACGGTGGTCACACCATGTACTCTGTACCTGCCTCTGCATACACTACAGCTTGCTATTATTTTCTCCACAGCTAAGGAGCTTTATTCATGGGTAAAAATACCCCACGTTAAAGCTCATCAGCACAGGCAGCAGCACTTGCCCTGGGCATCGCATGCAGGTAGGCCCATAGTGAGCACTGCCACAGGTCTAGCTGCAGCTGGAGAGGTCTACCTCTCAGGAGACTTGCACCAGCACCAGAAGTTACCAACCCCGACCAGGTGAAGGCCACTGCAGAAAAACCCATTGTACCAGGAAAGCTGCACCACTACCAGCATCCAGGAGCATCCACACAAATATGAGGATGTCTCTTGGTTCCTCAATTGAGTATGGATAGGTTGGGAAGGGTTTAATAAATGCAAAGGCCACGATTGGTGCCAGTAGCCTACAAAAACCACCATGGGAAAGCCTTCACTAAAGAATGAAACGAGTACAGGCCTTCAGAAGCTGTCATGTGCGCTCAGATGCGAGCACCCCTCTGCATCACTGACCTGTGCAATGAAGCGATGAGCACCAAGGACCCCAGAGACCGAGCAGATCAGTCCAGCTGGTACTCCCTGGCTCTGGATGAGTGTGCCCAGTCAGAAGGCCCCGCAGGTTCTTTGCTCCATGGTGGGCCCGCTGTCAGCAGGGCACAGGGTGACAGCTGCAGGAGTCTCTTCTGCCCTACTACTTTCTTCACGGGCAGCCACGTCCTCACTGCAGAGCTAATCCCCCTTTCAGCCTGCTTTCCTCCAGTTCCAATGCCACTCTCTGCAAAACCACCCGCAGAAGGGATGCCCCACGCAGGGGACCTCCTTGCCTCGTCTGGGTGGATGCAGGCAGCGTGGATTTGGGTCAGTGGCTGATTATGGCTTCAGGTTGATGAAGACCAGCAGGTGCTGAGCGTGCAGAACGCACTTCTCCACTTTTAAGAGGCTTTTCCAGCCAATAGGGAGGAGGAGGCTGCCTGTCGCGGCCCGAATCCTGCAGTAATCCCATGGCCTGCCACGGGGCTCCTCACTACTCTCCCAGCAGAACTGGGCAGGTCGGGAGGGGACAAAGGAGGAAGAAGAGGAATGCTGTAATGGGCTGAGCAGGAGACTGGGTGCAGGGGGAGAACATAGCAGAGATCCATGTTTCAGTGAGGAGCAAAATAGGAGATGGGTGCCCCCAAGTGCCCACTACCTCCTCCATGCTCTGGATTGGGGCAAAGCCAAGGGGCACATGCCCAGCAGAGAGTGAAGATGAGGTGGAGCAGCTGAGGGATTGCTATCCTTCATGGCTGGAAGAGCTGTTGGGACATCCATCCCACCCTCAGCAGCCCCCCCCAAAACAAAACTCCTACATGGCTGCCATTCAATTGCCTCCATGGTTCCCAGCCACACGTGGGGGAGCCCATTCCTCTGCAGGCTCTGGGGCCAGGGTTTTGGGGCCCACACATTAATCCTCCCGAGCCTCTTAGTCCCTGTGCCCCATCAGTGGGGAAGGAGGCACATGTGGGGCCCGCAGGTCTTGGCAGCGCTCACAGCTGGGGTTTAATTTCTATTAATAAGGCTAATCGGCTCAGGCCTGGGCTGCTGCTTGTGCTCCCTTCCTGGGAGGGAGGGCAGCCTGGTAACAGGGCCAGGAAGGCTGGGCCTGGTGGTGGGTGAGAAGATGGCCGCCAGGCTTTATCCTCCAGCCTGAGGCCTACCAGGCGCTGTGGGGACCAGGAAGCAGGGTTGTGCTGCCCTCCAGTGACAGCAGAGCCACGGCTGGCTGGTGGGGCCTGGCAGAGGGTCAAGCAGCCCCCCATCCCCGGGCTGTTAGAGGAGCCACGTCCTCCTCTCCATGCCCTCTGAGCACAGCAGAGGCCTGGCTGCTGGAACAGCTATGGAAGCAGCATTGTCTGTTTTATTTCAAAATGCTTTCTCCACAGGACAACTGGTGGAAGAGTAGGACAGCGACACTGGGCTCCATCACCTCCTTCCCTGTGCCCAGGAGCTGACTGGCCAGGGAAGGGGTCAGCTGGTGGTGAGGAGGGACTGAAACAAACATGCCTGCCAAAGGGGCCAAGAGCCCTTCAGCCAAGCCACATCACTGGCAGCTTTGTGGCAGCCACGTCCCTCTGGGGTTCATTTTTCCAACAGCAAAATCTGGCAAGTGTCCTTCTCCCAGACCATCAGAATCCCCCTCCCACCCCCCATGCCACCATCACCAGGCTTCTCCCACTCAAGCACGATAACATCACACGGGTGGAGGGCAATCCAAAGAGGGCTTGCTGTTGGCTGCAGCATGCCAGACAGCCATGAGACAGATCGCCATGTCCCAGAGGGAAGGGAGGGATAGAGAGAGGTCACTCTGTGAGCGGTAGCATGAGGTCACTGCCCAATAGGGGTCGCAGCCCGTCACTCCTATGCCTTCCTCTTCCCTGCAGCACCACTTCATCGAATAATGGGTGCAGAGCGATCGTTGGTGACTGTGGGACGTAGCTTGACTGTAGCAAAGGGGTTGGTACCTCTGAAAGGGAAAAGGAGACAGATCACATCAAGCAATCTGGAAAGACCATGCTGGAGAGCTGATGACCAAGCAAGAGCTGTTAAGTTTTCTACAGTAATAGCATTGTAATAATGCCATTCTTTCTGGTGGTTCCAGAGTGCAGCCCTATGTCTCACTCTTACCTTGGGAAGAGTTCAGGTGGCTGGTCTAATACTCCTGGTTTCTGCAGTGAAAAGAAAGGCAACTGTGAGTTATCTGGAGTGGGGGAGGAAATGGAGAGACAAAGGTGGAGCAGGAGACACTGCACACTTGAAAGAAGATTTTGCAAAAAGCTTGAGTGAATTAAGAGCCCAAGCCCTATTAACAGGGCTCTGACTCCTTACTCATTCAAATTTTGCATATTCCCTGTGGTGGCTGATTGTCTCTACACCACAGGTTCCCTGTTCCCCTAGGACACCTCCCTTGTTTTTGTGGAAGAAGGGAGATGCCTCAGATCCCCTAAGTGTCATGTCTGAAGAGCACAGCAAACAGGGCCAGTCTGGTCTACATTCCACCCTGCCAGCACAGCCAGAGATGCCCCCTCATGTTGCCCACCCACTCTAGCAAAGAGCTCGTTGTCAGTGTCCTCACACACTCCCTGCACCTGCAGGGTATGCAAGAGCGCTGGTATCCTGCCCTACACTATGTATTGCTCAAATATGAACCAACCTGAGGTAGAAAGACAGACTAGGTCCTGTGATCCTCATCCTTGGCCAGAAGATGATGAAGGATCAGTGACAACTGTGATGGCCTGCTAATGCACACCACTTTCTGTAGCTGGTGGCAGACAAGAAAGCTCTGTATTCCAACTGGTAATAGCAACAAGCATTGATTTGCTGCTGGCTCAACTGGAGGATATTTGGGGCAGAAGTTTAGAGCAAGGCTGAGTCTTTCCAAACTTCTAATGAGGTTCAGTTGTTTTGCCACCAAAATTTAAATGCTCCACACGCATCATTATTCAATCTCAGGTCTATCCCTATACTCTAGCCTTGGGGATGGATGGAAATCAGTAACCCAGAGGCCATAGAATTTAGAGCCCATTCCGCTCTGTGCTGTGCAGCCTGCGACTTCCTGAAACCATGGGACAGGTCATGAAAAGAAAAATAAAAAGCTAATTAAATGTGTTCCAGTCTTCTGAGCCAATGAGTTTCCTACAACTTCACACTGGCCTAGAACCAGTGACTAGAAATGAGGTTTTCTAGCCTTGTGCAACTGAGCAAGAAGCACCTTTCAGGCAGCACCATTCTTCCCTCTCCTACCAGTGGTCCTCATTTTCAACTGTCCTTCACTTTAACTTTGACTGTTTTCACCAGTGAATTCCTCACAACTGGAAGCAATGTTACATGGAGAGTTTAATTCCCAACATGCCATCTGTGAGCTATGGGTTGGAAATTCCTTGTTCTAAGACTCTCCAAAATGGCTGTGCATTCAGCCTTTACCCTTAGTTCTCTGCCTATTCCAGCTGTGATTTTAATCCAAGCCTTGCTCAAATTTGGAGGAGGATCAATGATACTTTTCTCCATTCACTGAAGGGAAAAGAAGGATGGCATCTCTGTCAGCTGGTCAGCCACCCCCAGCCCAGCCTGATCACTCCATGGTCCTACTATTAGCAGAAAGAGGTGCTGCCCCGGAGCCACCAGAAATCAGGCTGGGAAGTCATGGAGAAAAGGACTGAACTGAAGGGGCCCTGGTGAGCAAAAAACAGAGAAAAATGAGAAGGGCAGAAGCACAAAGACAGTCCCTGGAAGAGGAAATCCAGGCACTGAGGATCCACACAGACAAAATTGACGGCAGGGACACCAGGACATGGTTGCATGAGAACAGACTAGATGACAAAGGCCAGTGCTAACATGCCATCTAATCTCGGGAAGGGAAGAAGGCCCATATCAACATTTCATAAGCATTTTTCCTTCTCACTGCAGAAAAGGATGGAAGCCAGTACCACTGGAAGGATGTACCTCCCTCCACTTACATCAGTCAGCCCTCCTGCACTCACCTTCGAACTACCTGATGTCACCGTCCCACTCTGGTGACTGCTGGCACCCACTGGTGCAGGAGGTGGGTTTGGCACAGCAGCTTGGGCAGCAGCAGACCAGCTAGAGGAAGAAACGCTGGGATGGTCCAAGATGTCATCCATACTGTGACTGCTCCGGAGTGGGAAAGATCTGAGCAAGAAAAGAAAGCAGTGAGAGGAGAGCCAAAGAGCAAGCAATGGGGAGTAGCACAGGTGCTAGCCACAGAGACATCTTTGGAGAAAACATGCAGCCTGCACCTGAAACACGCATCCTGTTAGTGTGAAAGACTTACAAGGTGGCAGGCACGTGGTTTTCTTGTTGGCCAGCTGCCCTCCTCTTACCTGACAGGTGGCTCCTCCGTATCCCTTGCATCCTCCAGAGGCTTGACATAAGCTTCAGGGAACCAGCCACATCTAAGACACAGAGAGATGAATGAGTTCCAGGCAAACCAGTTTGTGGGTCTGTCTACACCCATTCCACACATCAGCTGAGCCTCCACTGCTGCAGCTATCATGTGTGATAGTGTTCAGCACATCTTTCACCCCTAGGTGGGGCAAGACAGCCCTTGGGAAGCCACGGAGCAATGGTATTTTCACCTTTTGCTTTGCGCAGAACTCGCTTGTCTCAGAAGCTATGCTCTATTCCCCAGGGCAAAGCAGCTGCACCCAAGAACTCTATCAGAAGAAAGGCACTACTCTTGCTCATCTTGCATCTGAGTGACCCAGAGCATGGGGCATTGGCTTCACCAACAAGTGTCAGCTGGTAATGCTGCAGGGAGTAATTCAGTAAGCACTGGGTGCAGCAGTTTCCATGCCCTGTGCTGGAGCTGAGAAATGCCAGGCCTCTCAGGTAACTCCAGCAGTTCACAGCTGGCTCCTTTGGCAGGAGCCACTCAGCCATGCGAGTCGGGAGGTATCACCAGGGCCCTGGTTTTCGTCACCCACCCTCAACCTGCCTCGCTGCTTCTCCTGTTCAAGCAGGTTAGGGATATGGCACAAGAGAGACAAAAAGACAAAGCCCGTTTACTACACTGAGGTCTCACGTACGCGGATGAGCCCTCCAGCTTGCCGTACAGCCAGCCGTTCTGCGCCTCTGGCATCAGCACTGTGATGACATCCCCAGGATCAAAGCGCAGCAGGGTCCGGTTGGCCCCTATCGTGTGGGGTGCGATAGCCTGCACTCTCACTGTGCCGCTCCTCCGCCTGCCTTCACTGCTGCTGCTGGCCTCACCAAAGGAACCAGAGCGGGAGACACGGCCAGCAGGGAGCAAACCTGCAGAGAGGCATTAGAGGGGTCTGGAGAGAACTCAGCATCCTCCTGCAAGAACCCATGCTGCCTCAAGAACACCAGTGCTATGTGGTCGTTAGCCAGATATCTAGGCCTTAGACATCGCCTGCTGCAAAAGGCTGCTGGCCCTCTTCCTGACCCTGCTGTAGAATATGGGACATTTTTGTTTCTCTCACTCTTATTTATTTATTTATTTTTTCAATTTATTACTTGAAAAGAGTTTAAGCTGAAATTTTTGGTGATCGAGAGGCAGTTGAGTCCTGGATGGACTCCACTCTGAAGGCTGAGCTCCTTCCTGTTTCATGCAACACTGTCCTCCCCGGCTTCCCATGCACTGACCTCTCACTGTGCTCAGGCTGAGGACTCACTATTTAATAGTCATGGTCCCTCCCTGAACCCAACCCTGTTCCCAGAGAAGCCCAAGCACTGTCTCCCAGCTCTTGGACATGAGACATACTGGCTGATGGTGTCCTCTGCAGTGGTCGCCTGGGGACCTCTGGTTGAGGAGACAGTCTCATTTCTGGTGGTTCCTGAGAAAAGATGCTGGACCTACTCCCAGCCATAGAAGAAGCAAAGTCTCCAAGGGGTCTCTGCTGAAAGGGAAGAGAGTCTGAGTGCACAGCCACTGAGGAAGTGTCAAACAAGAGACACCCCAAAAATCAACATATTCCTCCATCACAACCCATACGTATGCTTTCCTTCATCTTGGCCAGAGGATGGAGAAGCAGGGAGACTGCCACAGCCTGGCCTTGCCCTGCAAGCTCAGAAGGGCAGAGCAGCCTTGCCACCACCACGGTGAAGGCTGTCCATGTGCTCCTCACCGTCTCCAGGTGGGTAGGCGTGAGCCGGCCCGATGGATAGCCCTGGCCATGGGAGCTGGTGAGCAGGCCCTGCACATGGCTGTTGGAGGGGTTGCGGCTGGCCTCCAACTGCTCCTTCCACTGTGGTGCCTTAGTCTGGATCATGCCTCGGGCCTGGGAAAAGAGAGAAAATAGGCAGCAATGGACATGGCATTCAACTCCTCACCAGCCATACTCCTCCAGCTGAGGACAGTCGGTCTGGACCCCAGATCCCCGCCTGATCCATGCACAAAACATTGCCTTGACCCAAGGGGTCACCAAGCCCTGGGTCTCTCTCCTGCCTGCATGTTCTTCCCCAGCCACCCAGCTCCGCTCCCCAGGGCCGTACCCTGCTGTAGAACTGGAGGAGAGTGTTGTAGAGCATCTGGTGCTTTTCAGCCAGGAAGCGGTACCGGCGTTTCTCCTCCAGCTCAGCCTCCCGCTGGCTGTTGGAAAGGAATGCCTGCATCTCCGAGCGCAGCCGCATCACGTTTTCCTGGGTCATAGGGGAAAGGAGGAAGAGGTCAGTGGAAATACAGCATTCAGAAGGAGAAACACTAAAATGGGTGGTTATGGCTACCAGCTTCCCAGCACAAAGGAGCTAGAGCACAGAGACCATGTCCTTGCACACTGAGGCTTGCTAAATGAGGCAAAAGCTTGGCAGGTTCTGCATGATCGAGTTCCACAGGTCAGCAGGACCTTGTAGAAGAGGAGTTTCCTCTTTTCCAGATAAGCCTGCTGCCTTTTGATTGTCAGGGATAATCTCTTTGTTTCACAGGAAGGGCAGAGCTGCTCTTTCCCAGCTCTGCTTCCTGCAACCCCTGCTCACCTTCATCTCCCGGACATTTTTATCACGGGCCCTCTCCATCCTCCAGAGCTCTGCTGTGCACTTCTCCAGGTTGTTGGCTTTGCGCCGGTACTCCAGCTCATACTGCTTCTGGCTCTCCTGTCAGTAGAAAGCAGGTTCAGTGAGGAACCAGGGACACCACAGTCCATGAGAGGAGAAGATAAGCCTCTCCCCCACTTCCTGCATGATGTCTTAAGTGGCAAAGAAACAAGCAGGGCCAAGGAGTGGAAGGGAACTCAGCACTCACACTGATGAACTGCACATCCATTTTGGAGTTCTTCTCCATGTGCTGCAGTAGGTCCACATGGAACGTCTGAGCCTGGAAGAGAGAAAGGTTGGATACAGGCTGCCCAGGAAGGTGGTGGAGTCACCATCCCTGGAGGTGTTCCAGAACTGTGTGGATGTGGCACTGAGGACATGGTTAGCGGGCATGGTGGGGATGGGCTGGCAGTTGGACCAGGTGATCTTAGAGGACTTAACCAATCCTAATGATTCTGTGATTGTATGATTCTATGAAGGAGACATCACCCCTAACCCATGCTGTGTGAACTATGGAAAGGTTGGCTCACAGAATTGTGAGAGCCATGGGAAGTTTGGCTCACAGAACCCAAGAACCAGTGGCCCCCTTGCCAGCTGGCCCCAAAAGAAAAGCCAAAAATGGGCACTCTGGGGCTGCTGTGGAGCAGCCCTGCAGCCTGGGTGTGCACATTTGGTACCCGCCTCTGGTCTTCAGCATGAGGCTGGAAAGGTTGGCATTCCCTGAGGGTGGTGACAGTCCCCAAACAGCACCAAAAATGGAACAGCAGCAGGCTCTGGGCATGGCAGCTCTGCAACACGCCTCTGTCATGTGCAGCAGGGATGGCAGGGAGGCAGCACCTGCCTGCAGGCACTGAGAAGGAGGGAAGTGGGGTGAGCTGGGCAAATGCCAGCAAGCTGCAGGATGGGAAGTCCCTATTTGTCCCCACTTGCACATCAGCTCCAAGGAAAACCACTCACCACAACTTCTAAATCAGAGCTCAGGAGCCTCTGTGTGTCAGACATCTGCATCAGGATTTCACCTTCAGAGAAAAGAGAAGGGAGAGGGTGGAAAAACACCATGGCTGTTTCCTGGTGCGACCAGGGAGGCTGAGCAGCAGTGTGCCACCGCAACTGATATGCGGGTGTGAAAGTCCAACAGTGTATGGCTCTCTGCATCCCGAGAGGCTGAGAGCCTTCATTTGGAGGATCTGTCTTCCCTCAGTGGTTGGTCCCCCTGGAAAGGGACCAACTAATGGGGAAAGCTCCTTTCTGGACAGCAGTGGCGTGTGTGAGAGCCTTACCCAGCACATGAGAGGTAGAGCTCTGCAATGCTCGCTCCCCAATCTTTTCGACTGCCTTAAAGTAGACTTCAGCTGCTTTGGATAATGCTGTGTGGAGAGGAGAGGAGAAGTAAGGATCTGACCTGCCTTCCCACCAGCCCCAGCAAGCAGTGTGCAGGAGATTCACTCTATACCTCCTTTATAGGTCTCTCCCCATCTGTACCTACTAACAGTAGAGGGTCATAGAGCAGGAGGAAAGCACAGGACATGCCACGAGGTAAAACCAGCAGCATCCCAGCACACAAAAGATCCTCAGGAGAGAACCCACTCACCATGGAAGGCACGCAAGTAGTTGTTCCCCAGGTACACCAGGTTCTCCAGTGCAGGGTTAAACTGCTCCAGGATGCTCTGTGGACAGGCAGAAGCATGTTAATGCTGGTCTTCTCCATGTACCAGGTCAATGCCAGAGGGCAAGGTGCCTAATGGAGAGCTACACTGTCATCTAAAGATGGCTTTCTCCCTGGGCTCCATGCTCCTTAGCCACTGCAGACAGGGCAATAACTACATGGGGTTCTCCCTGAGCCTGCACAGGTGAAGGCCACCATCTATCACTCAGGTACAAACATTATTTTTCCTGTCCAGGATCTGATGCACCGTCAACCTCAGCAGCTTGATAAGAGAAGGGATGGAACTGCTTCAAATCAACCCATCACTTTTATTTGCTGATAAACCTATTTATCAGAGAGTTTTATTGCTTACAGTATAGCAGCAGAGCAGAGGCTGGAATAAGGAATTTCACTTTTCCCAGCCCTTGCTACCTTGCTGCAACACCAACGTGCACAGGGAAGCATTAGCGCGATCAGACTGCTCTTCCCAGCAAGACAGAAACAGCCAACTGAACTGATTACTACCAGCAGCCAAGGAGTGTGACCCTCCATAAAGGATCTCCAGATCCAAACCACACTGACTGCCCAATTTCTTCCTAGGTCTGCCATAAGACCCATGCCACTCTCCCCTCCTGGCAGTCACCGCTCTCACCGCTCCCAAACCCAGCCCAGAGCCCACAGAGCTGCTGCAGCTCAACCTGGGGACAGATCCAGCCCTCAGCTGTCCCCCCAGAAGAGTTTCCAGCAGAAATCAGCTCCTCCCCTCCCAGCTGCACATCTCCCCTAGGCAGCCAGGAGCAGCATTCAGTGCCGGTACTCACCTTATAGATGGAGATGGTGGATCTGTAGGACAGGTCCATCTCCCCAGGCTTTTCCCTCTCCTGCCGATGAGCAAGAGGCAAAGGAGAGCTTGAGGTACTGTGCTGGTCTGGAGGAGCCCTTCCACAGAGCTAGCTGGGTGGAGAGCCTGTCGCTGGCAAGGAATGACAGCAGGAAGACACAGCCGTGGTACAAAGGGAACAGAGCACTGCTGGAGTTTAATAATTCACCAGCCAAGAGGTTGGAACTTGATCCCTGGATGTAACCAGACTCTGGTGAGAGAGGAATCCTGCAACAGCCAGCAAGGGCATGTGACCACCTCCTTGAATTATTGATTGCCAGCTCGGTGCCCAGCTCCCCCTGCCCTGGCACCTGCAGAGCCAGCCACCTGCCAGAGTCACACCTTGCTTGCTGCCTCTGTCCCTCCCACCGCCCGCAGGTGGCTCGCTCAGCCTTCCCACGCTGCTGGAACATCCTCAGGTCCCACTGATCAGGAGATCCCTGTAGGTTTGTGATCACAGGCAGCAAATAGCAGGGAGAAAAAAGTAAAAACAAAAAACAAAAAACAAAAAACAAAAAAAAAAAACCACCAACACTTCCAAATAGGTTTCAGCTCTTCCCTTCCCTCTAATTCCCCAACTCCTGAACCTTCCTCCCACTCGCAGTCTCACTGAGGATCTCCAGTGACAGCACAAGCTTGTGCTGAACGCCCCTGTTCTCCCTGCCTGCATGGACCCCAAGTACAGCATCACTACTGGGAGCCCTTGCAGATGGAGTTGGCTTATAAGAAAGGGTAGGAGAGATTATGTTCTCTCCATCCTAAGATGTGGGAGCTGCTCCAAAGCTTCTGCATTGCATGGAACTGATAAGCTCAATGAGTAATGCTGCATTCTGGAATGTGTTCTGTAGGACAGCCAGCACACTCGCATCACATGCATGCTCCCAGGCCTGGCTCTGAACACAGATCATTCACCTACCCAGCCCATACAAAGGGTATAGCTCTGTGTCTCAAGGAGCTCAATTTGTGATTTTCTACTTGTAAGAAATTCAGACTGCAAGATCAGAACACATCTGGGGTTCTGCAGAATGCAAACAAGACAATCACAGACTGCGTTACAATGGAAACAATTTCAAAGCTCTCTTTATTTCAAGTCAAGTTAGGCTTTGTTCACAGTAGTAGTCCATTCACTCAAAAGCAAATGATTTAAGTTTTCAGTTTTTCAGGTTACTCCACAAAATTCCTTCCAGTGGATACACATCATTTATAAATATGCAAAATTTGCTGCAGAAATGTTTAGTATAGAAGTCTCACCAGGATTTCCAGCAGTAAAAAAGGTAAAATAAATCCAAATTGTCAGCATCTTTGTTGCAACCCGATGTCAGGTTCAATTGCACATTTAAATTGCACGCTAACAAAAAAGAGAATCAATCTCTCAACCAAGACAAGGCCATTAGCTCTCATCTTGAGCTTGCCATAGACAAGACACAAGGTTTTCACATCTCAGCCCTTGAGCAGAGTATCACAGCAAGACAGGGGGCATAAAACAGTTCCAGGAGGCTGCTCCCACCCTAGGTGCAGTCAGAACCCGAGCTGCCAGCTGTCTCTGAGGGCAAAAGGGAAGGGTGTTAGAGAAACCAACTGGCTCTTCCAATGTCAGTCATATGTTGCATCAACCCACTGCAGAAGGCTGCAGAATTTCTGCCCCCTTCTAAGCCAAGTATATTGATCAAAGACAAATCCCTTTCACCATCCTACACGTTTTGAACCAGCTTGTCCCAAGCAGGGAAAATAATCCTTGGAACTCTGTCTGGTAGTGGGCTGCTGTGTGAGGTGGGAACGAGTAAGGTGCTTTGTCAGTACTGCACAGACTGCAGCTGGCTCATGATAGCTGGGGATCTGGCTTCTGGGAAGGGCTGTATGCTCAGATAGCAGGGCAGCAAAACAACACACAGTGGAGTGGAGATTAGCCTATAGTGTGACAGTAACTCAATTTTTCACAGCCGTTCTGGAATACACGTGTACGTGCACTGCTGTGTACTAAATATCACTAATTTTTAATTATAATTAGCAGTAGCAGTCCCTTCCCCCACCTCAACATCTTGGATCAGGGCAAATCCAAGCTGCTCCTTGCATCTGGGATGCAGAAAGGACGCTACCAGGTCAGTCATCGGCAGAGATAATGCACCAGTTGCTCCAACTGCTCCCGCTGCTGGTAGATGTAGAGCTGGGTGTCCCAGAGGGCATTCACCAACACGCTGTCATTCACCTCGTCCAGCATCACATCCGTATGTAGCTGAGGGCTGAACCTGTGCACACCAAGACAGTATCACCCTGAGTAGAACAGAGCAGTGTGCACATCCACAAAGGATCCTCTTAGCATGCTCCAAATCCCAGTAATGGACCCCAGATAAGGCATGCTCAGTGTATCAGCTCATACACCGTACTACGGCATCCTCCATTGTATCACAGAAGCAGCAGGATTGGGGGCAGGAAGCCAGCTCTAGGCTGGCACACCCTTGGAAGGGATGTAATTTGGGATGACACATTCCACAGCCAGGTTCTGGAGAATAAAAATAGGTTTGTGCAGAGAGCAGAAAGGAAGCTCTTACCGGAAATATGGGATGTCCGTCATCTCACACCAGGCCCTGGCACGATTCACAGCTGGGCCATCTGCGTCAGTGCACTGCGGGAGAAGCAGGCCCACAGTTAGAGCCTGACGGCACTGCTGCCCTCTCCCTGCCTCCAAGAGGCTCCCTGGCACCAGGCTGAACTACACCAGCACAGAGGGAAAGGGAAAAGCAGCAGCAAGTGCATCCTGGATGGTGAAGATTAGTAAAGTGGCTTTGTTACAGCATTCCTGATCCTTAGGACACAAGGACATGAGGAATTTTACCCTACAGATCCTCCTTCCGTTACAGCACAAATTCACAAAAGAAATCCCCAGGGTGCACCTCCTTGGGACTTCAACTTTACCCATTTCTTTTCCACAACCCAGTACCAACCAGCCCATGACCACTGCAGGCCCTCTATGCTATTGTGGGACAAAGAAAGACTGGGGGAGACACAGGAATCCCCCCAGGTATTTTCAGGCTTTAGAAAGTTAAAGAAATGAAGCAACAGAGTGAAGATTAGTCAGAACCTCAATTCTGCTCCTTCTGACTTTCATTCATTTGGAGTGCATTCATGCACAACACCTAATGAGCTTCCTTCTGAAGTATGCAAAATTAGATGCTTATTACACTCTCCTAACCACAGCTATGAGCTGCTACTTCTTATTAATAACACTCCCACTCCTCTAGCACTTGCTAATTGTCCCAGTGAGAATCACAAAGCTGTTCTTAAGAAAAATTACTTGTTGTCATGCTGAAGCATGACTTTTTTTTTTTTGGTCCACATTGCTCAGACAATAGTTCATGCTCCCTGGAAAGACTCCAGGTCTCATGAACTGACACCTGCAAATGTTCCTATGGCTCACTGACCACCATCCTGCCTTTACCTGCCCAAACAGGCAGAGAGGAATTCAGACCTGCTGTGCTCCCACAGTTTTTAAGCAATTCTTGAACTCTGGAGCTATTCCAAGGAAATTCAATTTTCTTTCAAAAGGAAGAAGCTGAAGACTGGAAACCTTTGCTCCCTCGCTGAGAGTAATCCCAGGGCTCTCCCTCTTTCCCTCCTCCCAATACTTACACAGTCCACCACCATCTTGCCAAGCTCCCTAGCCCCAAAGACTGTCTTTGCCAGTTCCCAGGGGTTGGTAGGACGGAAGACATCTACAGAGGACACCGGGACCTGTGGAGGCTTCCCTGTCCCCAGGGAGACCACCAACCCCAATTTTCTTACTTTCTGCTTCTGACCCTGTGGACAAAAAAACCCACATATTTACTTCCAAGAACAGACAATTATGGCAGAACATGTATTTCACAGAAGTCTAGTGGATGATCTGAAAACAAAGGGAAAAGGCTCAGTAGCCTTTTCTCGCCTCTGTTCTCCCACTTTATTACTGGCTGATGAGACAGCTTTAATCTACACGCCTTCAAAGGTAATGATTACATCCTTCTGTGCCTTACAGGTCTGGATGCATTCAAGCCCATGGGATTCCCACAGAGACGACCAGATGGCTGTGAAACAGTCCAACTCATTCAGTCATTTTGGGAATAAACCCCTCCTCTCTGTTACAGGGAGTGGTGGCTGCCACTAGTTACTGATCCTTCTGAGCAACTGGGCACACCACAGAAAGCATTCACTGAGCAGAGTGCCCTACCATTGTCTTCTCCATTTTGAGAGAGCAGGAAGAGGCCTTGCAGAGCTGTGTCACGGGCCACATTGCCATCATCTGAACCATCTGTGCTAAAAGCAGCAAGTATATGCAAAGTCTGCCCCTATGATTCCTGCCTCCCCACCTCAAACCTTTGTCAGAAAAGGCATTTCACCTATCAGCCAGCATTCTCTACACCTATCCCCCTTCCCATACAGTATTTTCCAGGGTGCTGTAATACTCATTTGTTTTTCCACTGGAGAGGAGCTCATTCCCAATCTGTCTTCCCCTCTGAGGGTGGCCCAGCATGGTCAGTGAAGCCCCAGCTACCTTTCAGGGCCAGGATTTCTCTCACCTTGTTGATCAGAGTCTTGTTGTACTCATGAATCTCTGCCATGGCATCAAGGGTTGGGTTGTTTGCTAGCAGCCCACCATCCAAAAAGCGCCCTATTGGCCGGAAATAAGTGGGAGCTGCACCACTGCAGCGAGCAGCACGCCATACCAATTGGTCTGAAAGAAGAAGGAGCATACAGGCCTCTTTCAGCAGCTTTTCTGTGTGAACGGAGCACCAGCACAAGGCAAAACAGGCCTGTAGGTCCAGAATATGCAGATTGTTGTGCCTTTCTCCCAACAGCAGGGTTAGATTTGTTATTTATTGGCTTTGTTGTTTTTGTATTGTTGTTTTTATTTTTGTTTTTTAACTTAAAAAGATTGTACAAACATAGAACCGTTAAAGTTGGAAAAGACCTCTAGGATCACCTGGTCCAACCGCCAGCCCATCCCCA